AGAAGAACATTCTGGGAACCAAAATAAAAGCTTCTGCTGAAAACGTTTTAAGAATAGTAGGGCATAATGTTCTAACAATGTTTTCAAAAACATTTTAAGAATGTTTTTAGAGAACGTTATCCTACCTTTCAGAAGAACATTCTGGGAACCAAAATAAAAGCTTCTGCTGAAAACGTTTTAAGAATAGTAGGGCATAATGTTCTAACAATGTTTTCAAAAACATTTTAAGAAGGTTATCACCAAACATTTTAAGAATGTTTCTAGAAAGCGTTATCCTACCTTTCAGAACAACATTCTGGGAACCAAACAAAAAGTTCCCACTGAAAACGTTTTAAGAATAGGAGGGCATAATGTTCTAACAATGTTTTCAAAAACATTTTAAGAAGGTTATCACCAAACATTTTAAGAATGTTTTTAGAAAGCGTTATCCTACCTTTCAGAACAACATTCTGGGAACCAAAAAAAAACTTCCCGCTGAAAACCTTCCTAGAACAATGACTGTAACATTCTCAGAATGTTTTTAGAACCAAAAAATGTCTAGCTGGGACCTCTCTTCACCCTCTGTCTGAGACCAGAGCCCAGTCTGCTGTGATTGGTTAGTTGGCCGGTTCTGTTGTGATTGATCAATCCTTTAGAGATGTCCCGCCTATCACGTACAATGTGTTGGAGCGCTAGCCAATAGAAGCGCAAGTGTTACATAGTGATATCACTATGTTGCAGATGTAAACAATGGAGTCCAATGGGGGTGTTTCAGGCAGGGGGGGAGTGTGTTTGAGAAAAACGCTCTCTGGAGGGCACTTGGGATTTTGGCCTTTGCAGAACATTTACATGCACAAAAACCTATATAACACAGGAAAGGGAAAACCCCCCAAAGCATAATAAAGCCTCTTTAAATGAGTCCCTCAAGGCACACTTAACCAAACTGACATCACCATACAATGTAACAGTGCATCCTTTGTAAAATGCAGGCTAGTTAGCATAGTAACAGTGGCTGTTATTTTAAAGTCAATATTATTCCATCCAGAAGCAGCGGACAGTAGGCTATAGTGTCTGGGATAGAGGGTGGTTTCATTACTTTTACTTCCCATCCTTTAACTTTAATCACACATTTCACTCCATCCTCTTTCGTTTGAAGGCCATCTATAAAAGTCATTTGATACACCCTAGTGATAATGTCCCGACTGCCATTACACAGATGGAGGAGGAGATATGTGCTTGCACAGATGTCTGTGGAATGTGAGGAACCAATATCCAGGGATCTGTTAAAGGCCTCATATATCTCTGTACATTGTCTAACCCTGACGGCTCTGGGAGAACAGTTGCTATTGATAAGCTTCACCTAAATGCTTAGACACCTGCTGCTAGGCATATGCGGAAACAGTAAGAAGTGCTAAATTAGAACGCTTCTCTCTGCGGATATCTAGGTTTTGGTATTTTCCACGAGTGCTCTCTTGGAAACAGAGACAGTGAAATCTTACTAACAATCAATAAAGGCTGCAATTATTTAAACCCGGAAATGAGTTGGCATTTTATCGCTTGTCTCATAGTCAACGTTTTTTTAACGTGTTTTGGTTGGACGCCCAAAAATAACAGTGGTTAACATAACTTTAAGACATTTTTTTAAGTTCTGTTCTACGACATGAATAAGTCACCAAGTGGCATTTCCATGCTAATTAATGAACAAACATTCCGTGAAGGTCTAAAGCGTCATGCCAAACATTAGCCGCCTGCAATTTAGCAGTGGTTATGCCCAGCCGTGTGACCTTGATGTATCTCATTTATAGAAAGACGTTGTAGAAAACAAGTGGTTGTAAAAGTGGTGATTGAAATGATCCTGCTGAACAAAACGAGAAACTATCATAAACGTGTATATGCCACAGATCCAATGAGAAAGTCCCATTGGCTTTTAGTCGAAGGAGCCCTTGTGAAGGTAATTTCCTGGTGAGCCTACAAAAATATGTCATCACTTATCACTATATAAACAAATTAACACCAGACTGGAAAGGGAAGCAGTCAAACTATTTTCACATAATCAGTTCTAGCTTTTGACATTGATCTTTAGCCCTCTCACCACAAAGAACAATGATATTGGACAATTCTGCAGAACCCTGAATGACGTTTAATGACCACAACTTCAAATTCATAAACAAATGCTGTAAGGCCACCTAACCCTAACTTCCCAGTAATGTATTACTCGTTCCAAGTCTAGATACATACAGGAAACATGGGGAGAAAAAGGGAATACGAAATGCAGAAAAGGCCAGCAGAAGGACGTGAACCAGGCACGTTGACATTTTTTTGGTACGCACATAATCAGTAGGCCACCGGGTGATTGTTCAGCAGCTGAAATGCATCTCTTAGGTGTAAAGCAACCCTAACCCTAACAGCAACAACATACCAGATGCAGGCTTACAAATCTACCAAAAATGTAGAGGTAAAGTAAGAAAAGGTAACAAAAAGACACAGGTAGTAGTGTGACAACACTTCTCGTCTTTTCAAGCTAAATATTTTCACACAATACCTTCACTTCTACTAAATTCACCTGCTCTGCTAAGTGAAGCAGCAATTACTTATGTTGACAGACTTTCTTTCAAACACCAGAGGAAGCCATTAATCAATGCCTCTAAAGGTACAACAAGAGCACAGGTGCTGTTCAGAGAGAGCGGGGGAGAGAGAAAACAGGGCTTAAGATGCAACCAATGCAAATGAGCCCCCTCTTAATTTGCTTGCAAATGGCAAATTATTTTCTATGGCTGACTGACTTATCGGGCTCTGACACGGCAGGGTGTGTTGTTCTGTGTCTTCAACTTGGCACCGCAATCACGGGAAACACACACTCCCATGCTGTACACTTGCACCCTCTACTCGGCACGGCAGCCATTACAGACCACGCGGGGGGGTGAGGGGGTATGTGTCGTGGCTGGGGGTACTGCCAAACAAACCCCCCGATATAATTAGTTTTCTCCGTTGCACCTAATTAACCTTTGTCTGTGTGGCACACACGCATCTCATTCACAAGCCGAGCGCTTTCATTAGCAGCGTGTTGTGTTTTTAATGCCTTTTACCAGTCATGGTGAGGTAGCTCTTTGTAATCTTCAAACTGCTTCTGTTGCGCAGTTTGAAGCGGTGTACGTATAAGCACAGGAGATGAATTGGGATTTGTTATGATTAGATTCCAAAGGGTCAAGAAAAAAGGGTTTGTGGAGATGTCGTTTCACGCACATCGAAGGGCTGAGCGCGAGAGGGCGGATCAAACGTTACGTACACTTGAATGTCCACCATGATCCTCTTGTCCTCCTCCACATGGATTCCCCAGATACAGTCCTGGCCTTTATCGTAGGCTTCGGGCCAGTTCGGAGACAGCACCACTCCTGCTGAGTCTGTGATCTCGCCGCTACACACAGCTGGAACACACACACACACACACACACACACACTCACCAGGGATATTTAGTCAGGCAATGCTGAGGCTACAGCTCATTTAATCAGCACAAATAGAGTAATAGAGCTGGTTGTCAAAAGTGTGGATACAAATCCTATGCTTAAAAAAAGAAAAATCCAATACAGTACCTAAAAGCCAGTAATAACATATCTTTCTTTGACTGACAAAAACTGCAGCATAAGTTATGCATGCTTGTGTGTCTACAGGCCCATTGTAACACCCATTATAGGAAAAGCTGGACCGAAACTGTAATAACAGTGCCAAAATTCATACTGCTGAAATGTCAGTGAGCAAGTGACTAATCCACTGTCTACTCATTCTAAGGTAATCCTGTTCAGGTATTTCATTTACCAAATGAAATTAAAACATATTGCATTGAGCGTTGATGGGACTCTTTAATCCAGGAATAGATATACAGACCTCTGCAGGCAGGCTCGGTCTCGTTCCACTGGGGGTTGTTGGGGTCCATGCATTCGATGGTGACGGACCCCTGTTCCAGAGTATAGCCAGGGTCACAGGCAAACTCAACCAAAGCTCCTACTGCCCAACTGTTGTCACTGCTGGTCAGGTTACCGTACTTAACGAAGGGTTCGTAGCAGTGGCCCGCTGCAAAGGCTGTACAGTGAAAAATGAGCAAAGACGAAGAAATAACTGATGTTTTATCAGAAAGAACTTCAGAAGCTACGCATCCCTATAAGATACATGGCCAAATAAGAGACCATTGCCATCAACACCATTTATTAAAATTACATTTTTTTCATGTCATTTTGTCGTTGGATTTTATCTTTATACATTTTCACTGAAATCATCTTAGATTTGGGAACATTTTGACGATTATCAGATATGTGTGAAAGCCCAGAACAAATGTTATATAATAACAAGTATGTCGAGATGTATTTTTCTAAATGTATAGCTACAGTATGAACATATTGTGTACATATCATTTTCCAATACAATCTTGCAGTTGCTAAAGTGAACATATTTGGATAAGAGTGGTTAAAGTGTAAGCAAAGAACTGTGTGTATAACACCATATCTTTGAAAAGCTAATGGAAGAGCTTTTATCAGACAGATTCCTAATACCTGTAAAACTTGTGTAAAAGGATTATCGCTCTAAGGTTGGTGATGTCATTCAGTCCAACATTTTGTTCAAGAATGGGTGACACAAAATGTGGTTCTGGCATTCATGGCTGCCAGAGGTTGAATTGTAGGTGAATGTCTACACTATCCACACTATACACTATCTTACTATCTAATTTAGTGGGAATGCTGATACAGCATTCCAACTACTACGCACACATTTTTTATACTTATTTTTATTCCGCCGGTTTTTTTTGTCTCTCTTCTGCTCCCACATTCCACATCACAGAAACTCTGTTCAAACATCAAAACGTTCAGCTCGAAAATATAAAACTATTTATTTTTCTCTCTATGAACCCTCCAGGGCTCCGTACCAAACCCTACAATCCTGAGACATAATTGTTCATGAAAAACGTAGGAAAACCTCTCCTAGGTTGGAGAATAAAACAAATTAAGCAAAATAATTAAACAAAATGCCTCTTGAGGGCATCAAGTGACAACAACTTTCAACATGTCTCCATTAAGGCCCATTGTAAATTCAGCCTGATCTTTCCTCGCAGCAGCAGCCGCACACCTTTAGTTAATCTGCCAAAAAGGCCACACTATTGACCCGAAAGTACACAAAAGCAGACTGAGACGCTCGTCAGGGTCCTGAGATGCTTCACGCGTTGAAATGTCACCGATATCCATACTTGTCAACCCTCCCGATTTTCGCGGGAGACTCCCGATTTCATTGCCCTCTCCCGGTTTCCTCCCGGGGTCATATTTCTCCCGCATTTCTCCCGATTTCTGACAAAATCTGATTTACAAAGACTTTAATACAGCTACACCATTGTTTGGTTTCCATGGTAACACGTCTCTTTAGTAGCGCGCGCAACTCAAAGTCTGAGAGGGTGAGGCAGATAGTCACAGTAAACAGAACAAGAATCGACAACTACTCTACTCTCTGCTCACTGCTTTCCTGTAAAATACAGGTCCAGCCCACACATATGCTCCATCAAGGATGGTGCTACAGGCTGCAAGGCAGTGCACTTACAACTACAATAAGCATGTTAATGTTCATCTAACAGCTCCGGCGATCCACTAGCACCGCCCCGCCGCCCCCCC